TGGTGACGGCTGGCTGAGACATTGGAGTGTGAGGCTGGTTGATGCTGAGTTTTAAGGGTGGAGGTGCTTGACCGGGTCTAAGCTTGGTTGGAGTTGTTGTTGTTGTTGATTTTTTTTTTTTTTTTTTTTTTATTCAATATCAAATTTTACAAAATTTGTACTAAGGGTTGGACATATTGTGTGCTTGTGAGTGTTAGAAAAATTTTGAAGTTCCTTGCTCGCTTTAGGAAAAAGGGTCGAACAAGGTCTTAGGGAAAATATTGAGCACTTAGGCAATTTAGGATTTTAGGCTAAAATAAATTATGGCCGAGCACATAGGATAAAGTCGACTCAACTTGTCTTAAAAAATATAGCCGAGCTTAATACTTAGGAAAGATTTCTTGAAAACATAGGCATACTTAAAACTTAGCTAAAACTTAGGAGAAAATTAAAAAATTAGCACAAACTAGGAAAATTAAATAGACGAGGACATCTATTAAATTTGATTTTTAGATTAAAAGGATTTGAATTATACAAAGTCGAGCTATTCAAATGAAATGCAAATTCTATGCTCTTATTAAAATAAACAGGGCGTTACAACCCGCCCCCGCCTCAAGCCACGGATTTGGCGGGCAAGACCCACCTCTCTACGGGTGGATCTAGGAAAAAAATTTAGGTGGGGCTAAAGCAAATATAGGAATCGGATTATGCTTGTTCAGTTCGTAAAAGTTTGATTTCATATCATTATATATTTAAAGGAGCCAACCTAGAACGACTATTCGAACTTTCTTATTAAACAAATTGAGTAGAGTGACGCTTACACAAGCGAAGTCTGAGCTCATTTTTTTTGCTTATTTATTCAATAGTCAAGCTGACCTAACTCATTTATTAACCTATCACAAACTTAAACATGAGTTATTAAACTTGACTCGGTACGAATAACAGTTTGATGGGACTATATAATTTTTAATATCTCTCTCACGCACACACATATAGATAAGAATAAACTTGCATTTTAAAATATTTAAATAATTAATAAGTTGCAACACAAAAGACATAACTTCTTAATTTTGATAGTTCAAATGCTCAACATTCTTTACTCTCACAAAACTCTTTGATGATTGGCTTGATATTAACACAAATGCTATGATTGGTAGTGGTAACGCAAAACACTCCGACCGGCTTGAAATCGGCTCGTATTCCTCCTCCTCGTCGGTAGAATGCCGCGTTCCTACAAAAAACTCTCACACCGGGGGGTTTTTCCGGTGAAGAGCCTCCGATGCTTAAGTCAGTATATATTTCACTCAATTATCCAAAGTATAGAATGGATAAATCGTAGTTAACAAGAAAGGTTCACTCATATATATATATATAGGAGTGAGATACCTGCCCTAGCAGCTGCCCGGAGTTGGTGAGCTGTCCTTCTTGTGCTGCCCGGATCTGCCCGTCCGTACACACCTAGTGTGTGTGTGTCAGAGGTGGTTATCGCCACTATCACTCTGCACCAATGTACTCTCGCCACGTACCCCTCTGAGCAGAGGGTAATTATTCCCTTGAATATTCCTTATGAACTCCACGCGCGCCCTAGCGTCCATCACACGCTCTCGATTGCTCTCTTACTCGCCAGGTGGTCGACCAAATGAGTCCTCCTTTGGTAGGTCAATCTTCAACCAGGTCTTCTTTGATTGTTCGATCACTTCCTTTCAGTCTGCCATTGCTCGACCAACGTAGCATCTCCGTAATTTAGATCGCCTAACTGACCTTATGAGCTGGTTTATTCCTCGGGCATATAATATCCCATATCATCTAGCCCCCCCCCCACTCTGGTCGAGTCTGAATGACTCGATCTAAGAGTGATTTTGTGTTTGTCTCTTGGGTTTACCGTCATTTCGACCTCTTGATCGGTGTTGTCTCTATTCGTCGACCATTTGTTGAACCTTATCCCCTTTTTCGACCACGTGGCTGGTTCCATTGTAAATTTCTAGCCATCCTTCATTTTCCTTTATTATTGATACTGTTATCTTCTGCCACGTGTCTTATCTGTCCAGTAATTCTAATCATCGTGTCTCCTCACGATCTGCTTCGCTTCGCTATCCGCGCCCCTTTAATTCTCCTGGCCGTTAGATCTTGCTTTAATCCAACGGCTCTCTCTCTCAACTCTTCAACTTGTCTTCATCTGTATCCGTGTAAATACCATACTTAGCCATTTTTCGGCCTTTTTCTCACTTCTACAACTTTCAATCTCTTCTGCGCTCTAATTTTCTCCTCTGCAAATCGAATTTTCCTGCTCTCGGCATTTCTGTTCCATCGGCTACAAGGTTTCTGGCAACTCTCTCCACTGCAAACATGAGTAAGTTCCTTGTACTTCTAATTTTATGTTTGTATGTTTTTTGTTGTTGCGATTTGTCGCTTTTCTTTTGAAGTTCTGTCCATACCCTAGTCGCGGAGTTCCTCTTCTCTTCCCCTCTCTGCTCTTCCTTAAAGGTTTCCCCTTTAACAATTTTTTTCCCTTTATTCAGTAATCTCAAAACACCACTTTTCGAACGAAAGTCCCACAGACGGCGCCAAAATGGTAACGCAAAACACTCCAACCAGCTTGAAATCGGTTCGTCTTCCTCCTCCTCGCCTGTAGAACGTTGCGTAGCTGCAAAGAACTCTCACACAGGGGGTTTTTCCGGTGAAGAGCCTCTGATGCTTAAGTCAGTATGTGTTTAATCAATTTCCAAAGCGAAAAATGGATAAATTGTAAGTAACAAGAAAGGCTCACCCCTATATATATATGAGTGAGATACCTGCCCTAGGGGCTGCCCAGATTTGGTGAGCTGCCTGCTCGGCTCTGCCAGTCCGTACACACGCAGTGTGTGTGTGTGTGTCAGTGGTGGTTATCGCCACCATTGCTCTGCACCAATATCTTCTCGCCACGTGCCCCTCTGAATAGAGAGTAATCATTCCTCTGAATATTCCTTTGTGATTTTCTAACGAAGTCCACGCTCTCTCTCGCATTCACACCACGCCCCCGATTGCTCTTCACTCGCCAGGTGGTCGATCAAATAAGCTCTCCTTCGGTAGGTCGATCTTCGACCAGGTCCTCTCCGATGCTCGACCACTTCCTTTCAGTCTGCTATTGCTCGACTGATGTAGCATTTCCAATATGGGCTTGTACGACCGGCCCAGTGAACCGGAATATTCTTTAGGCATATAATATCTCATATCAAAGTGGTTTATGGTTAAATATATACTTGACCCATTATACAAATGAATGAGCTAAGTAATGAATGGGCTAATGGCTAAATATGTACTTTGTGTGGAAATTTGAGGCCCTGAATATTTCATTTTTATTTTTTTTTTCTTATGATGTTCGGTTAGAACAATTGTGTAAGAATAAATATTATTTGGAGTGATATGAGACTATTTGAATCAGTGTTTTGTGACCCGGACCAGCCCGGCGGGTCGACCCGGGACCCAGTCGACCCGGAGCCGGAACCGATCTAGGTGGGGTATTTGGACCGGGCAACAAAGGACACGGTCAAACTCAGTCAAAACCCGGCCAACCCGGGGCATTGACCCGGCCGGGTCAACCCGGTTGACTCGGTCCATATATATTTTTTTTATTTTTTTTTAAAAATAAAACTATGTAATATATGTTTATATGGTAAATATTTATCATCAGATACATATTATTAACACTTTAATGTACAAATTTTATACAGAAAACATTTAATTTTGTTACTTTTTTGTATATTTATATGACAAAAATATTCTATATATAATTTTAAAAATTTTAAAATTAATTATTCGGTTCAGCAATTGACCCCGTGACCCGACGGTTGAACTGGTGACCCGGTGACCGAGGACCTGCCCGGATCGATGGTTTGAATGTAATTTATTAAAGATCTTTGTAACTCATAGGTAATTTATCAATTTCAAGATCTAGAAAAACAGGAAAAATTATTTTTTTCATTTATTTATTTAATAGTCTTGTTTAATTAGATTTTTTTCTTCTATGATTCTATCTGCAAATAGCCTAAATACCACGCAAGTTCAAATAAGAAATTCAAAAATGATAAACTTGTCTAGGACCTCCAAATTTCTAGAGATAGGACCATGTAAGTAAAATTTATTAAATTTTATTTATAAGGTTTTATTTAATGATTAACTAACAATTATACAATCCAATAAATAATCTACTCATACACACAGTACTGCACTGCACACACAACACAAAACCCGGACTACCGGATAAAAAGAAAAGGAAAACATATAGTATTATATTATTATGTTTTTTCCTCGCGTTCTCTTGTTACCCAAATCACGCCAACATAATCTCTTGACACACACACAACAGCTGTTTTCAAATCTCATTTCGAAAGCCTGAGTTTTTGAAATTTCGTGTTGTAGGTCCATAATTATATATTTCCAATAAAAAATAATAGATAAATAAATAAATAAACAAAGAGAAACAAAACACACACACACACACTATTTTGCCTCTGTAAAATGACAACCTAATCAACAGCCTGTAAAGAGCTGGTGCAATTTTGCTCAAGAAAGAAAAGCTTTATGTCACTTAAAAAGCTTGGTGGGTGTTTTTTTCTGGTTTCTTGGTGGTTGAAATGCTCATCTCACTCCATGTTCTATAATCTATTGCAAGCCTTCAAGCTCCGTCGACTGAGGTAAAAAACATCTGCTTATAGGAACAAAAGCGTTGATCTTTGTCTCTTTCGTGAACTTCACAGTTCATCCCGACCTGGTTTCCTTCCATTTTTTTAGCTACAGATACAATTGTAGCTATAATTCTTTGATTCTTATGTGGCCTGCAATTTGATTCGAGTTAACATTGCCTTGAAATAGATCTGTGAAATTGTCAGATACTGTTCTATTTTGCATCAAATTATGGCGGTCAAGAATTAGGGCAGTGGAGGGCTCTTGGATTCAACTGTCATTGTTTTGATTTTTTGTTGCCAAATCCCCATTTCTTGCAAAAAAACAGTTCTCAGCGGCGGTTTTAGCTGAAAAAAGCTATGAATTTATTGAATTGGGCACCTGCAGTTGTGGGTCTAGTATTTCTTGAATTTCTCAGCAGTAGTTCATCATTGGCCCAATTCACCCCTACGGATAACCACTTGATCGCCTGTGGATCTCAACAAAACGTGACGTTCACTGGCCAGACATACATCCCTGATTCTTCTCAATCCTCCTTCTCCTTGAAAAGCAGTGGAAATTCTATAACCGCCACCTCGAATTCGACTGCCCCTTTCCCTATCTATCAATCGGCAAGAATCTTCACATCCACAGCTTCCTACAAGTTCAACATCAGGCAACAAGGCCGGCATTGGGTCCGCCTTTACTTTTACCCCATCCCTGGCCGTAACCTAACCTCCGCCTCAATCTCTGTCGTGACCGAGGATTTCGTCCTCTTGCACAATTTCAGCTTCGCCACCTACAACGGCACCTACTTTTCCAAAGAGTACGCGGTCAACGTAACCTCCAACAGCCTCTCTGTCAATTTCATCCCAGGAAACAATTCTCTCGCTTTTATCAACGCCATTGAAGTCGTGTCCCTCCCAGACGACCTCATTCCCGACCAGGCAGACGGGTTCGGGCCATACACCCGAATCAGTGGAATTTCCGGGCTTGCCCTCGAAACAGTCTACCGTCTAAACATGGGTGGTCCCTTGTTAACCCCCCAGAACGACACTCTGGGGAGGACTTGGGAGAACGACGTCAAATACCTCCACGTGAATAGCTCGGCCGTTAACGTCTCGGTCGACCCTTCAAACATCAAGTACGGGCAATCGGTCACTCCTCAAATCGCGCCGAATTACGTCTACGCCACTGCGCAGAACATGGGGGACGCGAACGTGATCGACGTCAACTTCAACATCACGTGGGTCCTCAAGGTCGACCCCGGATTCTCCTACCTCGTGCGCTTCCACTTTTGCGACATCGTGAGCAAGTCCCTCAACAGGCTCGTCTTCAACGTGTACGCCAACGCCGAGCTCGCCATCGGCGGCCTCGACCTGTCCAACCAGGCAGGCGATTTGGACGCCCCGTACTACCGCGATTTTGTCGTCGAGCTCCCTTCCAACTCGAGCGTCCTCACAGTAAGCGTGGGCCCCGACACCAACACCGATTTCATAAACGCAATTCTCAACGGGCTCGAGGTCATGAAGATGAGCAACGAGGCCCGGAGCCTCACCGGCAGCCTCCCTGTCGACACCCTCCTCGTCCTCCCTCACAAGAAGAACAATAAAAGCCTAGTTGTTGTCGGGTCTGCTGCTGGCGCTGCTGCTGCTGCTGGTGCCGTCGTCTTTATCGGGCTCTGCCTCGTCTGCCTTCGGGCCCGTGGCCCGAAGGCAGGCAGGCCGAGTGTTCCCCTGCACGGGAACTCGTTGACCGTGACAAAGACGTCGGGCACCGCCAGCTGTGTCTCGATGGGGACGCCGAGCCTCGGGCGTTGCTTCACGTTCCAGGAGATTATGGACGCTACTAACAATTTCGACGAGGGTCTCCTGCTCGGAGTCGGGGGTTTCGGACGGGTGTACCGTGGGACGCTCGAGGACGGGTGCACCCGAGTCGCGGTCAAGCGGGGCAACCCGCGTTCGGAACAGGGTTTGGCCGAGTTTCGAACTGAGATCGAAATGCTCTCCAAGCTCCGTCACCGCCACTTAGTCTCCCTCATCGGATACTGCGACGAGCGGTCGGAGATGATTTTGGTTTACGAGTACATGGCGAACGGGCCCCTCCGGAGCCATCTGTACGGGTCGGGCCTGCCTCCACTTCTGTGGAGGCAGCGACTGGAGATCTGCATCGGGGCGGCCCGCGGGCTCCACTACCTCCACACGGGCGCCACGCGGAGCGTCATTCATCGTGACGTGAAGACGACTAATATTCTACTCGACGAGGGGTTCACGGCGAAGGTGGCGGATTTTGGGCTGTCTAAGGCGGGGCCGGACCTCGACCAGACGCACGTGAGCACGGCCGTGAAGGGGAGCTTCGGGTACCTCGACCCGGAGTATTTCAGGAGGCAGCAGCTGACGGAGAAGTCGGACGTGTACTCGTTCGGGGTGGTGATGGTGGAGGTGCTGTGCGCGAGGCCGGCGCTGAACCCGGTGTTGCCGAGGGAGCAAGTTAATATAGCCGAGTGGGCGATGACGTGGCAGAGGAAGGGGATGTTGGAGCATGTTATGGATAAGAGTTTGGTTGGGAAGGTGAACTTAGCGTCGCTCAAGAAATTCGGGGAGACGGCCGAGAAGTGTTTGGCGGAGCATGGGGTGGATCGGCCGAGTATGGGGGATGTGTTGTGGAATCTGGAGTATGCGCTTCAGCTTGAGGAGACGACTTCGGCCCTAATGGAGCCTGAGGATAACAGCACTAATCATATTCCTCTGGGGAGGTTTGACAACAGCGTGAGTATGATTGAAGGGGGGCATTCGATTTCGGGGACTGATGATGATGGGGAGGATGTGGCCACGAGTGCTGTTTTCTCTCAGCTGGTGAATCCACGTGGCAGGTGAGAAAAAAAAGAAAGGTAAATAAATGGATGTGGTCTTTTATATTGTGGGTGGAGTTGACATGTGGATTTGAAGAAGGGAATATGTTGAGGCCGGAAGGTGTTTT